AATCGAACTCATGCGGAAGTGGCTTTAGCTTCTCAGTGCAGTGCTTTAACCCGTTGCGCCACCAGGGAGGGCCTACTGGTTCCTTTTAAAGCCACTGTGTACCTATGGACTGAATGCATAGTCTTTTTGGTCTTAAGTGCAGTTGATTTAGCCTGACATATTTAAGGCAAATGTACTAGTTATTGTGAAAAAAAATAATAATTAGAACATCCACCTAAACCACTAAAATTATTAATCTTCTAAAGCTTAGATTCCTAATCCTGACCCTGATCCAACTAGCCGCTGTCTTTAATAAGGGACTAGTGCAGTTTCATCTTGCTTTACCTCTTTTCCTGTTCATTCAGCTCCCTAGAGTTATTAAATAACCAGTAAGCCCTAACCTACTTACTCTGTGTGCAGAGATACCCTACACTATAAAGCCATCCAGTCACAAAATAGGCCTTGTTTTATGTGTGTTGGCCAAAATCCGTTAGCTCCTCTGGTCAGATCCAGTCTTAAGATCATACCATTTTCACTTCTGATTTAAAGATCACTTGTGGTATATACCTTAATCACATAACTAGTACACATTTTTTTTAAGATTTATTTATTTCTTCATAAAGAACTGGGGTACAGGCCAGAGATGCGGAGGGTGAGAGGATTCACCAGAGACAGAGCGAGGAGCAGAACAGACAGATCAACGAAGTACACTGCTGAGGGGAGCAGCGGGTGGGTCAGGAGAGGTCTGCCACGCCATGTGGATCTCCTCTGGGGCAGGCGGGGATCGAACTCTAACTAGTACACACTTTTTGATGAGAATTTATGCATATAGTAAACAAAACCTTTTTAAAGACTAAAACACAGTGATCTATAGTTTACATTGTTTTTGCTGGTTAGTAAATTCTTTAGTTTTCCTTTAAAAGATACCATTGTATGGGGGCAGAAGAATAATGTCTGTTAAATGGAAGCTTAGGGTTGCATTGCATAAAAGGCACCATTTTCTCATTTTTTAAATAAATTTGGGGCTGGGGTATAATTTAATTGCTTTATGCTTTATTTTATTTAAGATAATTCCTGTGGAGTCGCAGGCTTTTTGTTCCCATACTGTCTGGAGAGCAGTTTCCTGCCTGAAACCAGCTCGTGGCACTGGGAGCACATGTTAATTTATAGTTGTGTAGTCAGAGCTGCTTCGGATGTGAGCCACACGTGGGATGGCGTTCCCTTCAGGGTCCCCAGCATTTTCCTGGGGACTCCTCCTTCCTCCTTGTGCGCGCTGGAGGCTCCTGCTCTCCTCTGGGCCCAGCCTGTTTTGGCTTGTACCAGTAGTTTCAATTTTATATCCTTGAGCTTCCAAATGTTATTTGTCTACCACTTTTAGCATTTTCCATACTTCTTTAACGCCTCACATCCCTACTGTTCATTTACTTCATGCTTTAGAGCCCTGGTTCCCATCTGCCAAATAACAGAAGTAGGTGCGCTTTCCTAGCCTTTGAATCACTGACTATTTATTCAAACTGGAGGTACTTTTTTCTACAGATAAAACCCAAACATAAAATATTTTGGAAAAGGCATTGAAAAAAATATTAAAACATTTTGAGTAGACTTTTTCCTAATAATACATATCAGGGAGAAAAACGGTACCACTAGCTGGAAACAAAACTATTAAATTAACTTGTACTTGCATAAAAGCTTTATGAAATCATTTATCATGTATGATTTTAATTAGTGAATACTGACTCACTAATTATACTGTAAACTAAATAGACTGTATTTGGTCATGAAAATATGTTCTTGATATATAAAAGGAGTCTATTTTTATGAAGTTAAATGCTGTTGAAATACAGTAAATTCTAGAAACTATGTAAGTTCTATTTTTCCTAAAATAAGATCATTGTGAGGGACTCTTTGTGTGTGTGTTAGGTCTTTGTCAGTCTATTGAAAATAGTGTTTAAAATGACGAATGATGTCAAGTAAATTAAATGAAAAAGTCAGTGTTTAAAAAAGTTCATTGTGTGATATCTGGCAGGTAACTCTAAGGGTGCTCACAGAATTAAGTAATTTCACAGTAAAGATTTTTTCATACCATCTTCCGAGACTAGGTGCTTCTACCTGTGTAAATAAAAAAATTGGAGTAGAATTAAAGTTGAACCTCATATATTCTAGTAATGTTCATGGTTTCAAACCAAACATGCATTTCTGATTAAAACTGTTATATATCAAGCATCCATCACAATAAATTTAAGGAGACCCACACTGAAACATATTATTGTAAAATTTCAGAACAATGAGGGAAAGAAAAGACCCTTTGTAAACCTCTGAAGACCCTTTGTAAACCTCCAGAGAGTGAGAGGAAATTTATACAAAGAATCAAAAATCAAAATGGTTAGATATCTCAGCAGCAGCTCTTAGCACTAGAAGGGAAGTAGAATGATATCTTTAAAGAAACTGAAGGGAATGACTTCCAATTTAATTCTAAGCCCAATTTATCAATGGACAGAGTAAAAGAAGGAAATTTCTGCATGTTGAGTTTCCGAAAGATTTACCTCTCATGTATTTTTTTTTTTAGAATTATTTATTTATTCGTACAGAACTGGGGTACAGGCCCAGAGATGCGGAGGGTGAGAGGATTCACCAGAGACAGAGCGGGCGGGTCAGGAGAGGTCTGCCACGCCATGTGGATCTCCTCGGGGGCAGGCAGGGATCAAACTCAGGCGGAAGTGGCTTAAACTTCTTTGTGCAGTGCTTTAACCCGCTGCGCCACCAGGGAGGGCCCCTCTCATGTATTCTTTTACATGAAGCTGGTAGAGTATATGTTCTACTAAAATAAAGGTGGGTGGGTGGGTGGGGGGAACAAGAAAGAAAGATACCAGGTCAGGAAACTAAGGAGATCCCAAAATATAGTTTTGAAGTTGCTCTGTTGATCTTGGTAGCTCTGGCTTTATATGACTATTTAAGTGAAAATTAATTAAAATTAAATTTAAAACTCAGCTTCTCAATGTGTAGCCATGCTTTAAGCGTTCAGTAGCCTACAAAGGCTAGTGGCTACTATAGTAAACAAACTATAGAATAGCTCAGCAGTCATTATAGAAAGTTCTTTTTGGATAACACTTTTCTAGAATTGCTTGTTCTAGTTTATAGCAGGTCAGAAAGCTCTGGGGCATTGATTCAAGAATAGCTGTTATATTTGAATCTTATCAAAAGATTTGCACTATTATGGTAGACTTGGGGGGGGGGTTGGCTAGAAGTAAATTAGCGATAAATCATTAAGGTAATAAAAAAGGGGTGTAGGTAAAGAAAAACAACCATGATCATTTATATGGCTTAGTTGTCAACAATGTGTGTGTGTGTTTGTGAACATAAATGTACATACACACTGAAACTGGATGTAATCAAAATTATAAATTACTATATTGGGATAAAGGCATACATACTAAGTTTGTTTATAGTGAAATTGGAATTGGGTTGTGTAAATGTACATAAGGAGTAAATTCTCATCTTCAATACTGGGAGCTTAGTTGATTATGCATAGAGTGGAAAAATCAAGAAGTAGTAAGTTATTTAGATTGGAATTAAAGGTTCCACTCTAAATAAGGTTGCTTACACAAGTTCATAGTGTTCTTTCTGGGAAGTAGGTTAACGTTATAGTGAGTGTGTAGCTCCTGGAGGCAGCCACAGGACTGCCTTTTCCCAACATGTTCTATAGAATTCTTGTGCTCTAATTACATGTAAAACTTTTGATTCAAAAACAGAAAGCAAACATTTAAAAACATGGAACTGTTCCCAGAGGCTAATTAATATTCACCACAAACCTTGCATTTTATAAATCCTTACAGGACTTTAATGCTCAGGTCCACTTGTTAAGAGCACTAGTAGAGTAAAAGCTCGTATAGTTATGGAAAATTTAGGAAAGAAATCCAGTCAATTATTCAGTAGAAGTTTTGTAACTGCCCTATATCAAGAAATAAAAATGATAAATGCTTGTATAAATCAGATATCACCATATGTCTTTCAGTAGACATACTGAAAGAAAAAAGCAAAATCAAGGACACTGTTATTAGATGCTGTTTTGGAAGTGTTCGTTATTATTGGCTTTTAACTGTGAACCACCTGGATCCAAGTTCAAGACCCATGTTTTAGAAAAGGGAAAGGACAGTCAAGGAGCCAAATAAGGGGAGCACAGTCAATCATAAACTGCTGTAAACCAGTTCCCCACTCCAGAAGGGATTTATGCTCAGTACTGGAGGACATATTTTTGTCTTTTCTAATCTCCACTTGAAAGAATATATAATGGAAGCATTACTTCCTGTCTTTATTGGGTAGTCAGCTGAGAGCTGACTATGATCTTCCTTTTTGGAAGGATCTTTGACTTCCTATTCATGGAAATTCAAATTTCTGTTTTAAGATTATTTTAAGGAATGACAAACACTGATAAAAATGTGGATTAGCATTATAGCTAAAGGGAAGATGAAGCAGCTGTTTATATTGGAAAATGATTGAGGTGAGGTTATTTTTGGGCCTTGAATTTGTCTCAGTATAATCCATTTCTTTAAGGAAATGAGCAAAAGTGTGGAGGAGTTCCATAGTACTCTCTGGCTATCTGAAATGTGTCACTGGGAAATGGGTGGTTGATTTGTTTTCAGGTGAAGGTCTGGCTACACTTTCTAATAAAGTTTCTGTTAGTTGGGGAAGTAGGACTGACTCCATTTTTACTGTAGACCCAAAGATCTCCTATCGTGGGTTCAGTTCTCATAGCATCAAATATTTAGTGGATGAGAGAGACAACTAGAGCTAGTAAATAATTGTGATTTACTTTGCTAATTAATATATTTGAAATATCAACAATAATGGTCCTCAGTGAACGGTAGTTAATTTTGCCTGGATGAAGGTATTTCTGAGAAAGTGATATTTGAAAGTGGCTTTGAAGGGTAAGTAGGATGTCAGCAGGTGGAGAAGGGAGAGAATTTTTCTAGAAAACATGCATGGAATACAAATACATGAAAGGTGGCACAGAGGTTATCAAGTTCAGGCTGAATAACCTGGAGAGAGGCAGGTTAGGAATTGTGTGGCAGGGAGTGGTGATGTTCCACTGTGGAGGGTTTTAGGTGCCAATTTTTAGGTATCTTGTAATTTCTTTTAATCATATTTATAGTTTTCAGTACGTAAGCTTTGCCTTTTTTTTTTTTGGTTAAATTTATTCCTAAGAATTATATCTTTTGTTGATATATGATAAATGGAATTGTTTTCTTAATTTCATTTTCAGAATTTTGATTTCTGGTCTTGTATAGAAATGTGATTGATTTTTGTGTATTGATCTTATATTCTACAGCTTTGCTGAACTTCTTTATCACTTTTAATAATTTTTTAGTGGGTTCCTGAACATTTGTGATATATAAGACGTTGTCATCTGAACAGAGATAGTTTTACTTCTTTCCAGCCCAGGGCCCTGTATTTCCTCCTCTTGCTAGTTGCCCTGTCTAGACCCTCCCGTACTGTGTTGGCTGGAATAGAAGTGGTGACAGTGAACATCCCTGTCTTTTTCCTGGTATTGGGGGGAACACCCAGCCATTTACTATTGAGTATGTTGTTAGCTTTGTGTTTTTCAGAGACTCCATTATCAGGTTCAAGAGGTTGGATTTATGTCACCTGTTTTTTTCTTTCTCTGTGGAGATGATCATGTGGTTTTTATTTTATTTACATTTATATGAGCTGTTTTGTTCTTGATCTTGGAGTAAGTCATGCATTACATGTTGAAGACTGGTGATCGTCAGCATTTGGACAAATGGTAGAAACCTTGGAAGTGGGTGAGATTACCCAGAAAGAGTATATAAAAAGAACAGATGCCAAATATGGAACTTTGAGGAACAGAAATATTTGGCTTACTGTGTGATATACTGAATTTGATTTAATAAATTTAATGAAAATTCACTTTAAGTAGCAGGTTGTAATTTTTGTTTTACTAAGGATATTGTGCTATTTATTGTTTGCAGCTGTTGTATTTTAAGAATTTCTAGTAAGAGGTCCCTCCCTGGTGGTGCAGTGGGTTAAAGCGCAGCACTATGAAGCTGCCAGAGCCACTGCAGCAAGAGTTCCATTCCCGGCCAGGGGGTGTGAGCCACATGGTGTGGCAGACCTCTCCTGACCCACCTGCTGCTCCCCTGAAGCACTGTGTTTCAGTATACCTGCCTGTTCTGCTCTCTACTCTGGTGAATGCTCTCACCATCAGCCCCCACTCCTGCCCCCCCCCCCCCCCGGCCACAACTCTGGCCTATATCTCAGTTCTGTATGTATAAATAAGTCTTAAAAATTTTTTTTCTAAGTTTAAGTACTCAAGGTATAGCAAAGGAAGAGAATTAGTATGACTTTTGAAATGAATATGTACTTGGTAAATGAATACTAGAAGAATTTTAAGTTTTGTGAACCCACGGGTTCTATAAATTGACAGCTTTAGTACTACTAGATACTGAAATTTGTCTTTTCTCCACTAGGAGGAGTGTTTGTGTGAAAAGAGAAAAAAAATCAATTTGTGGAATATTTCTTTTGTGAGAACATGAAGCATGCATAATAGGAAACAGCCAAAAATTCTGACTATGTTGAGAAGTAGAACTAGTGCTTTCTTCTCATTTTTGCTTTGTTTTTTGAACAACTACCAGTCATAATGACTTTTAATTTCATAATCACCATTAGCAATTGCTATGAGAAAACTCTGATTTCAAGATATCAAAATTGAGTGTTCACAGTAGCTATTTGGTGAGATAGTCTGTGGGACTGGTGTGAGAAATTAATGAATTTATTTATTTCAGATCTACTGAATATAAGTAGCAAATAGAAGTTGTACGTATTTAAGGATTACTAATTTGATCATTAGGTATACTTTGTGAAATAATACCGTGAAGCTGACAGTACATCCATTGCTTTTTTTGTAGTGATAAAAATCAACCTTTTTAGATAATTTTAAGCATACAGTATTGTTAATTATAGTCATACGAAATTTAGACTCTCTGAAATGTAATTGAACATCAACAATTGTATAACAGATCCTGGAATAATAGTTTGTTCAGCATCCTTTCCTTGTCGTGTTGAAACAGTGTTACTTGATGACCTGGTTTCTTATTCATCCTTTAAAATCATAGTGTTCAATAGTCTATGAAGGACAATATTAAGTGAGAACTTACTATATATGTGGCAATTACCTGTTTGAAATTTAAGACTACTGCAAAGAGTTACTGAGATTCTCCAATGTAATGATAAATAACTCAAATTATATGGTTGAACTAAAACATTTTAATTGCTCATCTTACAACATGATCGATAAGAGTCAATTTGTAAGATGTTTGTTACCTGAAATTTTCTTTCTTGAACTACGTATTTGCTTTTATCCAGAATCCTATGACTAGTCTGAGATGAATTGATTATTGAAACAGGTAGAATATTGACTGACAGCTATGAATTCATAATAAAATTAATGGCAAATGAGATGTCCCATTATGATATTCTAACATAAATGATTTAGGATGTATTAGGATGTATACCTATTTAGAGGACTGGAACCCAAATCAAGCTTCTTAAAAAACAAATCAGTACAGCTGCATTGCAGTAGAGTACAATTTAGATATAAAAACCATTTCTAAGTCCTTAAAAATTTGGAGAACTGCGGCTGTCCCTGGTGGCGCAGTGGGATAAAGTGCAGGCTAACCACAGCCCAACTGCCTCAGCGCACGTTTGACCCTCAGCTGGGGAGGTGATCCACATGGCTCAGCAGACCTCTTCTCAGGGGAGTGCACTCCCCTCAGCAGTGTACTTTGTCAGTCGACCTGTTCTGCTCCCTACTGTCTTTGGTAAATCCTCTCACTGCCCCTGTACCTCTGGCCTGTACCCCAGTTCTGTATGCATAAATAAATCTTTAAAAAAATTTGGAGAAATAATTTCTTTGCCATAACTAAATAGATAAAATGAGGCTATACTTAGTAGGGGAAAAAATAAAGAGAAAAGAGGAATGCTTAAGTTTTGAAGTTTGGATTAGATACTTAACATATAAACTATATGTAGTCACCAGAACGCTCTTAATTTAAAATTTTAATAGTTGATGAGTTTTTATAGTTGTGCAAGCTCACAGACAGTGATTGTATATTCAAGGATATAGTTCAAAATGGTAATAGTTCTTTGGCATGTATTGGGTGATACTGTTGGAAAACATAAAATATTTAGATCTTTTTGTGATAGCAAGTATGCATTGTGTGTTAAACTGGAAAGCATTTAAAAGCATTTTCTGTTGTAAACTTTATGTTTAACATTCTTCTTGATGTAGGAAAAAAATTTAGAAAGTCTTTTAACTCATGTTTACCAAATGTGTACATATATGGCCCTATAATGTGAATATTGTTGGGTTTCTTTTTTTATGACTGCAGGAAGCATATGTGCCTCATTTCTTACCCAAAGCTACCAGCTGCCAGTTTTTGATACAATGTTTGTAAGAAAGAAATATCGAGGCAAAGATTTTGGGCTTCATATGCTGGAGGACTTTGTTGATTCCTTTACAGAAGATGCATTGGGTTTGCGTTATCCACTGTCCTCTCTCATGCACACAGGTAAATGTATTAAGTTAAAACATGTTAAATTTGTTTCATCACTTTTGACTTGTTTTTATAGAATTTGTAAATGTGCACATATCAATATTAAATAAATTTGTGTATTTTGGTTCCTAAAATCTAACTTCACAAATGTGTCCTTATCTCAAGTATAGTATCCTTTGGAGGGCTGGTAGTTTTGAAAAAAACAGAGATATAATTTATGTCCCATAAAATTCACCCTTTCAAAATGTACAGTTCTAAGTGTATTGACAGTTGTGAAAAATCATAGCCACTGTCTAACTCCAGAATTCTCATCACCCGGGAAAGAAACCCGGAGCCACATGGCAGTCACACTCTATTTTCCCATTTCTCCATCTCTCAACCACCAAGCTACTTTTTATGTCCATCACTATGGCTTTTCCTGTTCCTGAGCTTCTCATATAAATACAATTAAACAGTATATTTATATGATGAACCTTTTGTGTATGACTTCTTTCATTTCACATAAATATTATCGTAAATATTTTCAAGGTTCATCCAAGTTGTAGCACGAAGTATTGTATCGTTCTTTTTTTGTGGCTGGATAATACCCCATTGCATGCAATATATGCTGCATTTGTTTGTCCTTTAGTTGCTGAACTTGTGGATCAGTTTCTACTCTTTAGCTGTTATTTATTTTATTTTATTTTATTATTATTTTTTT